TTAAAGCGATTTCCTAGCAATCCCCAAGGTATAACTTCAAACGCTGTCCGTTAACTTTGAATGGGGGGTCCCTCTTTACCTTCAACTTCTATGGCACCATTGGTGAACACTCGTGTCACTCTGAAAGGCCCAGACCATTTGGATTTTTGCTTCCCTGGGAATAGCCTTAATCGTGAGTTCTACAATAACACTCAATCTCCCACATTGAATTCCCTCTGGACTATTTGTGTGTCGTGCCATTTCTTCATTTTCTCTTTGTAAATGGCTGAGCTATCGTAAGATCTGAGCCTGAACTCATCTATTTCATTCAACTGGTACAACCTCTCCCTTGAAGCCTTTGTCCAATCTAAATTCAGAGCTTTCAATGCCCATAAGGCTTTGTGTTCTAGCTCGACAGGTAATGACATGATTTACTAAAAACTAGCTGATATGGGAACATTACTATAGGTGTCTATTAAGCAGTCCGATATGCCCACAGTGCATCGTTAAGCTTTCTAGACCAGTCGGTTCTGCTGCCGTTTACTGTCTTGGATAGAATGCTTTTGATCTCACGATTTGACACCTCAACTTGTCCGCTTGTTTGGGGGTGATATGGAGTGGCGACCTTGTGTTTTACTCCGTATTTGCTTAATGCACTAGAAAACCACTTATTGCAAAAATGCGATCCTCCATCACTAATGATTTCTCTTGGAGTGCCAAACCGTGCAAAGATGTAGCATTTCAAAAATTGGACAACGCTTCTTCCTTCATTATTTGGGAGTGCGACAGCCTCCACCCATTTGGACACATAGTCCACAACTACTAAGATATACTTGTTTCCAAACGAGCTGACAAATGGACCCATGAAATCAATTCCCCACACATCGAATAGTTTGATTTCCAAAATAGGTGTAAGGGGTAACTCGTGTCTTCTTGACACTCTGCCTTGCTGCTGACATTGAGGACATCTCTTTGCAAAATCGTGGGCATCTTTGTAAAGAGAAGGCCAATAATAACCACTTTGGAGAATCTTAGCTGCTGTACGGTTTCCACTATGATGACCCCCTACTGGTGATGTGTGGCAGGCATGGAGGATCTCTATTGATTCTTATTCCGGAACACACCTTCTTATGACATGATCAGCACATTCCCGAAATAAGTATGGCTCGTTCCAGAAGTATCTTTTAACATCAAATAGGAACCTCTTTCGTATATAAGAGTTCAACTCATCGGGAATCAACCCACATACGATATAGTTTGCAAAGTCAACATACCATGGAACGTGTGTGAGTGACAATGCGAATATCTGCTCGTCTGGGAATGAGTCATTTATCTCATTTTCCTACTCAGTACCTGCTTTATTCTCTAACCGTGATAGGTGATCTGCAACTTGATTCTCGCAACCTTTTCGATCTTTCACCTCAAAATTGAATTCTTGCAAGAGTAGCACCCATCTTATCAGTTTTGGCTTCGCATCCTTTTTTGCCATTAGGTATCGGAGTGTTGCATGGTCTGTATGAACAACTACTTTAGTGCCTAGCAAGTATGCCCGAAACTTTTTGAAAGCATAGACCACTGCTAGCAATTCTTGTTCAGTGACTGTGTAATTTCGCTGGGCACTATTTTGAGTCTTGCTTGCATAATAGATTGGGTGAAACAGTTTGGTACGCTTTTGTCCCAATACTACACCTAATGCCATCCCACTCGCATCACATATCACTTCGAATGGTTCTGACCAATTGGGGCTGATGATAACTGGTGTGGATATCAATTTCTCCTTCAAACATTTAAATGTTGTCATACAAGCGTCATCAAAGTAGAATTTCACTTCCTTCTCTAAGAGTTTGCATAATGGTTGTTCAATCTTTAAGAAATCCTTAATGAATCTATGGTAGAATCCTACATGGCCCAAGAAACTGCGAATCCCCTTTACTAAGATCGGCGATGGTAGTTTCTCGATAACCTCAATTTTTGCTTTGTTAACTTCCAGCCCTTGTTGCGACACTTTATGCCCAAGAACAATGCCTTCTTTCACCATGAAATGGCATTTCTCCCAATTTAGGACTAGATTAGTTTCCACACACCTTTGGAGCACTCGCTCTAAATGTGTCAAGCATTCTTCAAATGTGTCCCCCGCGACTGAGAAATCATCCATGAAGACTTCCAGAGAGTCCTCAACCATATCCGCAAAGATGGACAACATGCATCGTTGAAAAGTTACCGGTGCATTACAAAGTTCAAATGGCATCCTTTTGAATGCAAAGGTCCCATAAAAGCATGTGAAAGTGGTTTTCTCTTGATCTTCTAGTGCGATAGATATCTGGTTATATCCAGAGTATCCATCCAAAAAACAATACCACCCTTTCTCTGATAACCTGTCAAGCATCTGGTCCATGAAAGGCATTGGAAAATGGTCCTTTTCAGTCCATGAATTTAGCTTTCGATAATCCATGCACACCATCCATCCTGTATCTAGTCGGCACAAGCTCTCCTTTAGCATTTGGGACCATTGTTATGTCACCCTTTTTTGGTACGCATTGCACTGGGCTGACCCATTTGCTGTCTGAAATCGGATAGATTACTCCTGCATCAAGCCACTTAATGATCTCCTTTTTTACTACCTCTTGCATCGGGGGGTTCAACCTTCGTTGATGCTCCACACTAGGTTTGCATTCACTGTCCAGCCGAATCTTAAGGGTGCAGATACCGGGCGGGATGCCCACGATATCAGCTATGGTCCATCCGATCGCTTTTAAATGCTTCTGCAGTACTTCAACAAGCACTTTTACCTGCCCTTCACTCAGATTTGCTGAAATAATCACTGGCAGAGTGTTGTTAGTTCCCAAGAAAACATACTTGAGGTGGGATGGGAGTACTTTTAGTTCTAAAGTTGGCGGCTTTTCAATTGATGGCTTTGCAGGTGGGCTGCATCAGTTTTTTAGGTCGATATCCAACTTAATTGTATTTCGTACATATGCTCCTAACCCTGTTAGGGATGCGATCATTTCATCATATTCCTAAATTTTTGAATCGTCATGATTTGTAAGTATTGACTCAAGAGGCTCATTCTTGCGCAGCAGATAGCTCACACTTGCCACTACCTCATCTATAACATCTTCAGTAGACACTACATGGATATCACTTGGTTGCTTCATGGATTTGCAGATGTTGAAAGTTATCTTATCGTCATTCACACGGAATTTCAACTTGCCGCTTTCAACATCCACTAATGCTCTGCCGGTTGCTAAGAATGGCCTTCCCAAAATAATGGGGACCTCAACATCAATGTCACAGTCTAAAATCACAAAGTCAGCTGGAAATATGAACCGATCCACTTTGACCAAGATATCGTAGAGGATCCCAACAGGATGCTTGATCGATCGATCTGCCATGAGAAGTCTCATTGTAGTTGCCTTTGGTTCTCCCAATCCAAGTTGCTTGTATATGGCGTATGGCATCAGGTTGATGCTTGCTCCTAGGTCACATAAAGCCTTGG